ACACTGTTTCAAACATTGATTAATAAAATAGTGATTGAAATGAAAGTAATGTTAAAACAAGTGATAAATTGTTGACAAAAACATGTGTTTATAAAAGCATTCAAACAATCAGTGATTGAATCGAAAGACAACGGAAATGACTGCAAACGTGAGAATCACGTGATTATTAACATTGCATTCATCACTCATTCAATAGTTATGAGACAAATGTCGCCCACTTTTGGACACTATTTTCAACACTAATTATAAGTCAAACTAAACTTTTTCGTTAACTTTAATACAAATCAAACCACTTTTTAAACATTAAATGATTTAATAAAATCATTGTAAAATTCAAGTCAATCAACACTTATAAATAGGACCATGGTTAGGTGAAACTGATTATAACTATAAGTTTAAAACATGGCATTAATTAAAAAATTATTTTTTTTATAATTATAGATTACAACAGAATATTTACATATTGTGAAGAGTGGGCCGTATCTGAAGAGTGACCACCATTTGGTTGCCTCGTGAGTGCCGATCGGACAGAACGGATCCCGTTTCAGGTCTTTTCATCCCAAACTCAAATGTAACAAATGAACATCAAATGAAATATAATGCAATGCAATTCAATTCAACGAGGGCACTTTACTAAAATAAAGTTGTTTTAATCATTTCTATATCCATGGATACCGTTTTACTTAAGAGTGCTATAATAGATTTTTACCATAACTAGTTTTCACTTTTATTCAAGTACATAAATCAATTGTATATATATTTACAAAATTAATTATTTAAGATAATATAATTTATATAGATTATAATAATTTATAATTAAAAAATCAAAAATAAACTAAACTACATTTTCTACAGCGAAACACACTATTAATAGTAACTTGTTATTTTTCATCAATAATTAGTTAGTTTGTTTACCAGTGATTAGCAAAATGTGTTTTATTAGTAATAATTTTACTTCATTTTTGTTACAGAACTTATGACAACAAAAAACATGTTCACAGAGACTAATCCCAGAGAGTGTCTGGTGTGCGGCGACCGGTCTAGCGGTATGTCTGACCAATTATTATACCATATGAACGATGGAGACTCAAAATGTTACACAAATCATTAAGCCTTATATACATGAATTAGCATATGTGTAGTTTTGTCATTATTATTAGTAGACGTCGGCGGCTATGCCCGGGTTCGGGATGTCAATAACGTCAAAAATGTCTTACCAAGATATAGCCATTTTATGGGGGACGTAATTTCTGGGAGACCCAAAACCATATGGTTCGGGGCATC